AAATTTGATTCCCAGCATTCAATTCAGTGGTGGTTCATAGTTGTTTGTAAATCCGGAATAGGGAACTTCTGGACTCCTTATGCACCAGGCATACTTATGGCTCACAATAATGCATGTAGGTAAAACAACCATAAACATAAATAAAATGTAATTAAAAAAAAAAGCAGAAAAACAAAAAAACCCAACAACAACAACAACAAAACCAAAACCTCAACCAACCAAAACAAGCAAACAAACTCAACAAAAGATTTCGTTGACATGTTTGTTACCTTACTTCTATCTCAATTTCCCCGCACAAGGAAAAGGACCAGATCTAGGGAAGCAAGTCAGTCAAGAAGGAGGAGACACTGGGGCATCCTAGTCCTTAGTCCCATGGTCACCTCTATTGTCCCAGATCCCTTTCAGGAGAATCCTACTTGCCTTCCAGGAATCCCTCTTCTCTTGGATAAGAGCTTTTAGCTTCTCAGCCTCCTGCTGCTCCCTCCTCAGCTTCTTCAGAGACTCCTGGAACATGTCCTGGAAGAAACATACCAGGTTAAAAAGGGGCCAGCCTCAAACTGTCTTACTACCTAGACACAGAACAAACTAGACTGAGATTATGCTGACCCCAAGGGAATCCTGCCTTGGCTTCAAAGTACCTTCTCTTTACAGGGAATGTAAAGAAAAGATCAGACAATCTTGTACAGCAAACAGGCAAGACTGGCAAGAAAATATTGACCAGGGAGCTACTTTCTAGGTTCAACTTCCAGGTAATCCTGAGTTCAACAAAGAAACTTGGGCTTCAACGCTTCAGTTGGTGGAGCGTTTGCCTAGCATGCCAGAAATACTGGACACAGCTGGGCAGTAGTGCCATATACTTTTAATCCCAGCACTTGGGAGGCAGAGGCAGGCATTTTTCTGAGTTCAAGGCCAGCTTGGTCTATCTACAGAGTGAGTTTCAGGACAGCCAGGGCTATACAGAGAAACCCTATCTCAAAAAGTAAAAAACAAACAAAAAACAAAAGAAATACTGGACACTGGTAATCACAGAATTCTGGAAATGAAGGCAGTACAATCAGAAGTTCAAGGTCATCATTAGCTACAGTCAGTTTGAATCCATACTGGAGTATATGGGACCTTATTTTAAAAAGAAAATCTTATATAAAAAAATAATAAAACAAAGCTGGACAGTGGTGGCGTGCACCTTTAATCCCAGCACTTGAGAAGCAGAGGCAGGCAGATCTCTGAGTTTGAGGCCAGACTAGGCTACACAACAAAATTCTCTCTTGCAACACTTCCAGAAATGGAAAGCAAACCAACTATAAAGCAATCAGAGAAGAACATGAAGTAAGGTTAAGCTAAGTACCTACTTGGTACTCCTGGGCCACCTCCTCCATGAGGAATGTGTGATGACCACGATGCTCCTGAGATCGCTCACAAAGCCAGCAAATTAACTTCCCATCCTCCTTGCAAAAGAGCTGGAGTTTCTCTCCATGAAGTGCACAAAAAATGACCTCGAGCTGTTTTCCGGGACTCAAAGCAACCTCTCTGAGCCTCTTCACTATGGCGGCCAGGTGCCGGTTAGGACGGAGGTTCCCAGGCTGGTAGGTGGTCCGGCACACAGGACAGCTGCTCCTCCCTTCTTGGCTGAGCTCTGAATTATGACTATTTCCTATGATGCAGGCCTGGCAGAAGCTATGGCCACAATCTATGCTCAGGGGTTCTGTCAGGAGCTCCAAGCAGATAGGGCAGGTGACTTCATCTCGGATGTCCACCAGGACTGCTGAAGTCATTGTAGCCGCTCTCTTGTCTCCTACCTTCCCAGCTTGCTTATAGAATCCTAAGTAGAAAGAAAAAAAAAGGCACAGGCTAAGGAAGGAGAAAGGAATGGATACTCTCGCCCCAACTCCAACACTTTACCTCAGCTCACATCTAACACCAGCTTGCCCTCTTGTTACAAAGCTTTCCTTTGCCTCCTATTGGATAGAAAGATAAATGGGGACTCTGGAGAGGCCTAGTGTGACTTGCATTTTACAGGCCTTTCTTCAGTCTACCTGAGCATATTTTCAGCATTCATGGCTGTGCCAGGACTTTTGGATTTGCTGCTCCTTTTGCAAGTGAGATCCTCCATTCTGGTATCTGCACCAATGACCTCTTCCACGTTCTCTTTCAGAAGGCAAGCACTCTGCACTCTGGTGAACACTCACTAGCTTTGCGCTTTTTTCCCCCCCCTTCGAGACAGGGTTTCTCTGTGTAGCCCTGGCTGTCCTGGAATTCACTCTGTAGACCAGACTGGCCTTGAACTCAGAAATCCACCTGCCTCTGGCTCCCAAGTGCTGGGATTAAAGTAGTGCGCCACCACTGCCTGGTGGAGCTTTTTTTTTCTTATCATTACCTACTTATTTTTGATGCTGTCAATTCCCTCACAGAAATGGTAAGCTCCCAGAGATCAGAGACTAGCCGCTGTGGGTACATAATTGTACCCACAGCAGTTAGCATAAGACCTGGGTGAATGAAAAGCCAAACCCTCCTTCAGCTGATGAGTCATCCTTACTCATGAGCTTTTCCACCTTTGGCTCTCCTTCCCTCATGCCTGGTCTCCAGGATCACAGGTATAAAAGCTGGTGGACACCTTCACCCTCTGAATCTGCTCCACTCATGCTTCTTGCTCAGCTTCTTCCCAGAAAAACCAAAACAAGCAGGACCGTCCACAACAGAGGCAGGCAATAGGTTTTATAACTAACACCCTCTCCACTCCCTTTAATATATATGGGGTTTTTGCCTGAATGTTGTCTGTGTACCGTGTATGTCCAGTGCCCACAGAGGCCAGAAGAGAGCATTAGATCTCAGTTGTAAGCTGCCACGTGAGTGTCACCAAGAGAAATGCTACTTTCCTTTCAGGCAAAACCATATTTTGCAAAACGTCTTGAGGAAATCCCTCCCCTTGAGGGGACCTATGATAATGTCAACTGCCAAAAGAACAAATGTAGCATATCCATTCAATGGTATATTACTATCAAAAGACAAAATTACAGGGGTTGGAGAGATGGCTAAGTGATATACATTAATTATAACTGAATAATGCTGACAAAAAAATAATAAAAATAATAGTGGCTGGGAGTGGGTGGGGAAGTTTGATGAGAAAAATGGTTTGGTGCCTGATCTTCCACTTGTACTGTTAAATCCAACAGCTACTCATGGCTACTGAGACTTGGGATGTGGCTTGTTAGAAATACTTATTCAAGTTAGAAATACACACTGACTTTTAAAGTTTTGTAGGAAAAGTAAGTATTTTGTAAACTTTAATTGATTGCATGTCTTAATTTGTTTCACGTATTGGGTTTAATAAAGTAAATTAAAAATATATCTACCCACTTCATCTTTTTTGTTTGTTTGGTTTTCCTGAGACAGAATCCCCACTATAGAGCCCTGGCCACCCTAGACATTAACTGGATTTTCTTGCTCTTGCCTCCCACATGCAGGAATTACAGATGTAGGTGAACACATCCCAGACTTTTCACTATGTATCTGAGCTAACAGAATACTTAAAATTACACAGTGGCTCCATTTTCTACTTCAGTAGAATCTTTGTCTTTTCCTATTCTTATGGAACATATTAGATAAAGATTCTTGAATGCAAACAAAGGAATTGGTGTTTCTTCTATTATAGATTAGGATTGTCTGACACTCTGGAGAGAGAAGATCAAATTAGCAGCATATAAAAGCGAAAAGACTCCAGGGCTGGGGAGTCCAGTTAAACCAAAAGAACAGGGGCTGGAGAGATGGCTCAGTGTAAGAGCACTGGCTGCTCTTGTAGAGGACCTGGGTTTAGTTCTCAGCATCCACATGGCAGCTCACAACTGCCTGTAACTCGGGTTCCAGTGAACTGAATGCCCTCCACTGGTCTCTGTGAGCTCCTGCATGCATGCAATAACACATACATGCGAAAAAAAAAAAAAAAAACCAAAGCAACAAATTTTTAAAAGAACAAAGAGCTACACTAGAGGCAGAAGAGTCACTGACTTCTACTGGAACTCTGTGCAGGACCTCAGAAATGAAGAAGATTTTCAGAGTAGTCAGGATGCTTTAGAAGCACTGATCTTCTTTGCCAGGTAGAACAATTTAGGGCAGAAAACATCTGGAAAGGTGAAAGGAGGGGCAAACTACAGACTGATCCTCAGAGCTTAAGTACCTGTTGGAACAGAAGGTCAGGTGGGTACCAGAATGGTCTGCAGGATAACAATCAGTAATATTCAGGAACCACTCGGGGCAAGGCTGGGTGGGGACACAGAAAGGAATGAGAAGGGAAAGGGGAAAAAATTGCTATAGACTAGGCTGGCCTCGAACTCACAGACAACCATTTGCCTCTACTTCCGGAGTGTTGGGATTAAAGGCCTCTGCAACCATGACTGGCTAATGTTATCTTTTATCTTTATGCAGGACTACATCCCAAGTTGACCTACTGTCTGGAATTTATCTAATAGCACTCATTGGACATAAAACTTGAATATAATTATCTTTAAGCATTTCTGATTTTACGTTCAAAGAATCATTTATTATGCATTTAAAAGTTTGTTAACGGCCGGGCAGTGGTGGCGCACCCCTTTAATCCCAGCACTTGGGAGGCAGAGGCAGGTGGATTTCTGAGTTCGAGGCCAGCCTAGTCTACAGAGTGAGTTCCAGGACAGCCAGGGCTATACAGAGAAACCCTGTCTCAAAAAAGTTTGTTAACACCAAAAATTCCTTAAACGCTACTCCGTGTAGATTTCTCTCTTCTGGTTAGTGTTAAATAATCTATTGTGTTTTTAAAGGGTAGACTATAATTTTGTGCACTTATCAAACTTGTGGTATCTCACTTGTAATTCCTTTTTTTTTTTTCCCTGAGACAGGGTTTCTCTATGTACCCCGGGCTGTCCTGGAACTCACTCTGTAGACCAGGCTGGCCTTGAACTCAGAAATCCATCTGCCTCAGCCTCCCACGTGCTGGGATTAAAGGCGTGCACCACCACCTCCCGGCTTACTTGTAATTAATTCCTAATGTTAAAATATTTATATTTCAATTTGTGTAGATGTAACAAGTAGAGGTCATATCCTTTTAAGGTACCACAGAGCAAGTTTTACACTTTTATTATCCCTTTACTTATTTTTGTTCTGAGACCTGTTTGTAAGCATCTTGTCAGCAACCCACTATGTAACTGAAGAGGACCTTGAACTTTGGATAGCCCTGCCCCTACACAACACTTTGTCCCGTCCCACCCCCCACCCATTCACTCCCCAAGAACCCTAGAGCCCTAACGCATCACCCCACCCCACCCTTTCTACCTTCCTTTGGTGCTGGGGATCCAACCCAGGGCTTTGTGCAAGCACCCTACCAACTGAGTCACATATCCCAACTTCTTACCACATTACTCCCAAGATTGGTTTGGTAGTGCAATTTTTAAAAGTTAGACATGGAGTTTGTCCATAATAACTGCGTTTGAGAATTCCCCATACCCTGTGGTTTGCTGTGTTTCGAACCCTGCCCCAGTTAATTTTCACCAAAACTCTAGAATCGACTCACTGCACTGCTCTGTCCACTGCTATATATTAAAAACGTTAACGCTCAGAGGCTAAGTAAACAGGCTCGGGGCACAGTGTCCGCTTTTCAGGTCCTGTACTGAAACACATACAATATACCTGTAACACCTATTTGTCTCAAATGACTGATGAAATAAATGTCCCTTTGCTGTGTTGGTAGCTCAGGCCGGTAATCGTAGCACTTGGGAAGGGGGTTGGAAGCAAGAGGATGGTTAGCTAAAGGGTAGCTTGGGCTAGAGAAAGATACATCTTAAAAAAGAGAAAAGAAAAGTAGACTTTACATATATACTTACATAATACATAAATTTAATGCTCCCGATCTCAGTCAACTCATTTACAATAAATCATCACCTCACTGTCCCCGGCCGCCTCCTCCAGAAGTGACACAGGAAAGTGACAGAGCGGTAGGCACGCACAGAGAAGATCCGCAGATGAAGAGCACCCTGTAAGCAAACTTCCCCAGAGCGCGTGCAGAAGGCTTTAATTCCGCGGGCCAGAAATCCTGGCTAGGATCTGTTCCTAACTCCGCCCAGCTAGCCTCGACTTCCTCAGGAGAGGCCCCGGGGCTCCTAGCTCCGACTGGTTGCAGCCGGTGTAGATCGGGGCGGGGCAGGCAGAGTAGCTCCTCTCCCAACTCTTCCTAGAAGTCGGGCCTGCTAGTGAGGGCTGGGGCAAATAAATCTACTTCCTTGGAGCTGGGGGAGGGGATGTTGACCTCCAAATCCACTTGGGACTCCGAACCAGAAACTCCCAGAGTAGTGTGCCTTTGCCTCCAGAATCCGTTACCCCCTTACTGCTATAGGAACACTGCCTATTCCTAGCCGCAAACGCGCCTCTTCAGTGCGTCCCAAACTCAAGGAAACTCAAAGCTGCAGTCCCGCACTCTTCTTCCACGCGTGAGTTCCAACACAACCTGTAAGGTAAGGCGGCACAGACTCTACACACCAGTGGGACAGCAACAACTGGTCAGAAGATGTGTTTGCTCACCAACCTGGATTCCGTGGCCTGGATCGGTGCCGAGGACTTGCAGCCTGGTAGTCTGCTCCCTCCAGTACCGAAGCCCGACTCCAGGCAAAAGGGGCGGGGCTGGCGGAGGAGGCGGGGCTGTCCTCTGGGCTGACTGGGACCACTCCCCACCCCCCGGGGCAGAAATGCGGAGACAACTTAGACAAGTCAAGGGAACAGCAAGTGTTGATGCCTTTTAGAACATCTTTAGAGACTTAGGCTTTCTACAGTCATGTAAATGGTTAATACACCTGTTCTTGCTATCAATATATTGAAATGTCTAAAGAATAGAAGGTCTAAAGAATAAAAGCCATACAATTAAATGGTGACTTCATTTGAAGGATCACAAAACTCTGCCAACTTTAAATTACCTGTGTGTATTTGCAGTTTTAATGCACGGAACCAAAAGACCATATACCTTTACACTGAAGTACTTACACATTTACATATGCAAACTGAACTGGACTGTCGGTTTTATTAAAGGTAGAGCTACTCTGAAAAGCAAAAGAATGCCAAACTTCCTGGCCTAGGAGACTGACACCCCACCTGATCTTAGAAGGTGGGGAGGGGGAAGATTTGGTGGGGAGCTGGGCGTAGGGTGGGATGTGGCTCAGCTGGTGGAATGTTTGCCATACCTGCATGAGTCTGAACTGCATGACTCACAGTTGTAATTCAGCACAAGGAGACTGAGGCAGGAGGATTACTATAAGTTTAAAACTAGCCTGGGCTATAGAGTGTTTTTGCCTCGAAAAACTTAAAACACAAAACGAAAAGTCAAGCCAGGAATATATGCTTGATGTGAGGAGTGGAAAAGTATGCTCCAAGAATTTTTTTTTAAAGATTCATTTATTTATGTAAAATACACACACACACACACACACACACACACACACACACACACACACACATATATATATATATATATATATATATATATATATATATACTGTAGTTGTCTTCAGACACACTAGAAGAGGGCACCAGATCACACTGCAGATGCATGTGGTTGCTGGGAATTGAACTCATTACCTTTGGAAGAGCAATCAGTGCTCTTAACCACTGAGCCATCTCTCCAGCCCCCAAGAATTCTTAAGAATCATAGAAAAATAGAACAAAGATGGCATACTGAATGTCTAACATCCATGGGTAATGTTTATTTGGTTTTGAGACGGGGGTGATGTGATATTTCTCCCAGGCTGGTTTCAAATTTGCTGTGTAGCTGAGGATGGTCCAGATCCTGCTTGTGTAGTGATGGTATAGCAAGCATGCATCACCTTGCCCTAGTTGATGCAGTGTTGGGCATTGAACCCAGGGCTTTGTGCATCTGGGCAAACACTTTGCCAATGAGATTAGCCCTTAGAAGAGATTTACAGACAGCACAAATAGGTAGCATCATCTTATGGAGGAAGAATTTGGTAAGCTCTCAAAAGTCAGGGAATGTGGAATGAAAGGATCTCAGAATGTGTGGTTCCTCCAGATTCCTGTGTTCTTAAACTCCTGTGATTACTCCTGACTTGGTTGTTGCATTACACAAAATTGCTGTGGAGCCTGACTTTGCCTGCTGGCATTATCTTGTGGGTTCTCTGGCTTGTTTGTCTCTTCAAATTCCAAATCAGTTCTCAGAATTGTAACTTTATTTATTTGGTTTGTTTGTTTGGACAGTGTTTCCCTGTATAACTGCCCTGGCTGCCTGTCATTCTTTTGTAGATCAAGCTTGCCTTGAACTCACAGATGTGCCTGCCTCTGCATTCCTGAGTGCTGGGATTAAAGGAACAAGCCATCACAGCCATTGAATTGTACAGTGCTTTCTCTCCTGTTCTGTCATCCTTGAAGGGAATCATGGGCTTTGCTCTTGGGTCGTGATACAACTCAGACTTGTGGAGTTGAGCCAGCCAGGAAGTCTGGGTAAGAAGGAACAGAGGTAGCTGCTGTAAGAATAGAGGAGGTTGACAACTCTGGAACTCACTCAAACCTATGTAGCAAAAGTAGCACCAGAAGATGGATGATTCAGACTAGGGTAGAAGTCAACCCATGCCCCTCCAGAGATTTTTAAAGTCCTGTTCCCTTGTACTATGGAGTGAGTGAAACTTATCCCTTATAGGCTTATAACCTACAGGGAGGTAAATGAGCTATGCCAAGATCTGCAGTGTGCAGTGATGTGGGTTCCTTTGCTTATTCCTCTTGCACTCAAACTCTCTTCAGTCTCCACAGGGCCATGAGTCTCCGTCTACTTGGAGAACATGACCTTACCCTATTGAAGAACATGAGTGCTGCCTGCCTTTTACCTTGTTTTGTACCATGTATCCCCAGATCTCCTCCTACTCCCCTCTTTAGTTCAGTGCAGAGCTGAGGCTAGAGATGTATTCTAGAACCTCCCCAACTCATTTAGTTGTCCCTAAAGAAAACAGGAACGGGTGTGTGTGTGTGTGGGGTGGGGGATGGCTTAATAAGGCAGGCTACTTCAAGTGGTTTGCAGATCAGTCTGCTGGTCAAGAAACTATCACACCTATATAGTTATAGCTACATAGTTGATTAAGAAGCTTGTGCCTGATCGGGAACAAACAGAACAAATTTAATTCAATTGCTATGGTTGGGTTGTGCTTTGGGATTTGTAAGCAACAGCCTTTAAGATAAAGAAAACAGCCGGGCAGTGGTGGAGCACGCCTTTAATCCCAGCACTTGGGAGGCAGAGATTTATTTATTTTATTTATTTATTTTATTTATTTTATTTATTTTATTTACAGGTGGATTTATTTTATTTATTTGTTTATTTATTTATTTATTTTGGTTTTTTCGAGACAGGGTTTCTCTGTGTAGTCCTAGCTGTCTTGGAACTCACTCTGTAGACCAGGTTGGCCTTGAACTCAGAAATCCACCTGCCTCTGCCTCCCAAGTGCTGGGATTAGAGGCGTGTGCCACCACCACCCGGCCTGGCAGGTGGATTTCTGAGTTCAAGGCCAACCTGGTCTACAGAGTGAGTTCCAAGACAGCTAGGACTACACAGAGAAACCCTGTCTCGAAAAAACCAAAATAAATAAATAAATAAACAAATAAATAAAATAAATCCACCTGTAAATAAAATAAAAAAGAAAACAGTGAGCTAATATAACTACGTGACAGCATTTTGGCAATGTTCTACAGGCTTATCAGCATATTAGTTCATCTTTTTCTTACATATTCTGGTATCAGACAGAACTGGCTTCTAGGCTACTTCATTGAAACTACTTTAAGGATCCACATGTGTTAATTTATGCCTGTAATCCTAGCACTTGGGTCGCTGAGTCAGGAGGACTGCTGTGAATTTGAGCCAGCATGGGCTTTCAGAGAGAGACTCTATCTCAAAAACAGATAGACAGATAAAAAAAAAAAACAAAACTATTTTTCTGGAACCAACTTTTGCCTTTCAGAAGATCTTTATGGCACCAACTTTCATCATTTTGGCCATTTTCTGTTCTATATTCAGCTATCCCAAAGCTTCCTGGAGCTTTACCTGCGAGGAGCTACTTCCGTTTGCTTATTCATTATTCAGGATGGTGTGAATTAGATGGTCTTAGAGATAGATTTGTTTTGTCGTTTTATTTTCAATCTTAGATGGAGTGCTTTTCTTCTAGCACACACACTACCCACCATTAACTTCAACATCTCTGAGATAATGGGAAGACATTAAAATATTTTTATTTAGAGGTTAGAGAGATGGCTCTCTGGTTGGAAGCACTGGCTGCTCTTCCGGAAGACCAGAGTTCAATTCCCAGCAACCACATGGTAGTCCACGGCTCTCTATAACTCCAGTTCCAGGGGATCTGACACCTTCACACAGATATAACAACAATGCACAGAAAAAAGAAAAGAAATAAATTATTTAGTGAGAGAGACAGAGACAAACACAGAGATAGACAGACAGAGATACACATGGAGAGAATATATCTCCTGTGTGTGCAGAGGACCTGAGGAAGCCAGAAGGCAGCGTCAGATTCCCTGGGGCTGGAGGTATAGGCAGTTGTGAACTATGAGATGTGGGCACCGGAAACTGATCTTTGTGGACACCGGAAACTGATCTTTGTGGGCACCGGAAACTGATCTTGGTCCTCTAGAGGAGCAGTAACCCTGACACCATCTCTCCTTTAAAGAGAAAAGCTCTTACAGCCTTAACATTCACCCATGTAGCACATTGTGCTCTTAACTGACAATCACACAGGTGTTTACTCTTTGTCCTGCAAACTGAATCCATGTAAAAAAGCCAAGCCTGGTGGTGGGCAATTGTAATTCCAGTGCTGGGTAGGTGGAGACAGGAAGTTCCTTGTGGTTTGCTGGCCAGCTAGCCTAGATTACTATGCATTCTCAAGTTCAATGAGAGAAAATAAATAATTTTAAGAATATAAGAAATTGGCCGGGCGGTGGTGGCGCACGCCTGTAATCCCAGCACTTGGGAGGCAG